AGAGGACACCTGAAATCCTTTCTCCCATAGATCATATTGGCGTAGAATAAGTAATGCTCTTTTTCAAACTATTTACTATGTCATGTGCAAAATTAAGGCATCACTGTCTCATCATCCTTGACATACTGTCAAAGATGTGATCATTTTCCTCATTGATTTAAATAAAGTTACACCACATTTCTCGACACACATTCTTATTATCCAGATTCTTCATTCTCTTTCCAGTCTCCCCCATCCCCAGCACAAAGGCCTGCAACCGCTTTCATCTCCAAATTTTTTAACTTACTTTTCTGGAAACCTGATAGTATTTGAAATACCACTTAAAATCTAGCAATATAATGTTGCTTATGAATGCTCCTCCGCCAAAAATCTAATAGCATTGCATAAAAAAAAAGGAAATAACAATTTTCTTTCTTCAAAATCACTCAGCTGTGCAATCATGAGTTCTTTCAGACCTTCAGAAGAGATGATCAGTATGCAGAGGAAGAGTCGTGTCTCCTACCTACTTTTGCAAGGGTACATTGCAAAGCATCACTAGATTTGCCTTGTTAGTAAACTGCCATCAAAATGCTTTGGGAGATACTTTGATTTACAAAAAAATGAATAAAAAACACCTAAGCTGAAATATTGCTTTTTTAAGCTGCAAGATCAATTCACTATGTGCTTTTTTAATTAGCTGAAATATATACATTTAAACAGAAAACACAGATGACTTGGCATTCTCCCATGTCGAGTTAGTGAGCGTTACTAGTTCCTCATATTTTTTTTTTCCCTAATACTCCCTGGTGCTCTGACTTATGAGGGGGAAACTTTCCATGAAAAAATGTATGCTACTTTTCAGCTTTTGGCTTTGTATGTGCTTCTTCTCTGCCTTAATTACAACATACATCAACAGCAGAAAAAGATTTACAGTGATCACACCTCACTTAGAGAGCTGTGAAGATTGATCTGGAAGAGGGATGTTTGTCAAGCTCTGTATCTGCTTCTCACCTTAGCTGGTCCTAAAGTGAATCCCAGGACACACATGATGGCGTTTGAAAAGAAATTAATGGGAGAGCAAAAAGTTCTGCTGGGTCACTCTGCTGTTTGTGTCCTCAAAGAATACGTCTGACCACTTACCCTCCAAAGCCAGGGCAAATGGTTGTGAATTTCAAACTCACTGGCCGTTAGGTAAAAAGATGGTCATGGCTGTTGAACTCATTCCTAAATACTCTGTGGGGTCTTCCAGATGAGATGGTAACTAGAGCAGAAATCTGCCTATTGTGAGTGGGTTCATTCTTATAGCTGCTATTAAGAATTTAATAAGAAATAACATTTAGGTCACTGCACTAGATTCTTGAAGAGGCTACAGCCCTTATCTTTATGGAATTTATCATTATTCTATCCATTAGTATGACCATACAAAAACAACACACAAATGCAGAATTAAGAAAAAAAGTACATAGGGGATAATGTGCCCTTCTTGTATTTTCATACACTCAAAAAGTTCTGGAATGTGCTGAATTTTGGTCTTACGTCAGGAGCTTGACCTAACTTCCACACCTCTCCCTATCCCAAACCAGGCAGGCAGGTGCCGCTCTGGACTAAAAAAATCAAAGAAATAAAATGAAACAGCCTGCCATTTGGACTTCTTCCTGCTGGATTTTTTAAAGTTGTTTTTAATTTGACTACTTCCATTAAAAAGTGATGCAGTATAGTAGTTTGTAATAAGTTATTAGGATGACCAGACATGTTGGCACATACCTGTAATCCCAGTGCTCCAGAGACTGAGGCAGGAGGATCATGAGCTCAAACTCAGCTTGGGCTACATAGTGAGACACTATCTCATTGAAAAACAAAGTAGGGGGGAGAATAAAAAGAAAAGAGAAAAATCTCCCTTTCCAAACACTCCATGACTCCAAAAGTCATGTTTCCCTGTTCAGTTATTGCCCACTTTTGTCATTTTGTCCAACAGATTGCCCTGTTGAACAAGCACGTGCCAGAGATGCTCACTCTCGGCTCATAGAAATGTAATCATACTTTAAAAATAAAGTATGTTTTCAAATCTAGAAATTAGCCCATAATTGAAATTACCATCACAGTGTTTTAAGTGATGACCACTGAACTCTTTTCCGGCAAACGGCTCATAGAGCGTTAATTGCACGTCACATTACGGATTTGCGGAGTTAAGTTCTGTCCTGCCCTTGGGACTGTGAGCTAAAGCAACTTTGTAATGTCTTTCAGAATGGAAAAATAAAACAGCAGGAGACTGGAAGCGTTCTGTTTGGCCTGTGAAATGTGTGCTTTGCTGTCCTTCCAAGCATCATTTCCTTAGTATATGCAAGTTCCTGTGTTCGATCCCCAGCATAGCAAAAACTAAAACAAGCAAAAAATGACACAAAAAGAAAAAAAGAGTCATTTCATGCCCTTTGAATCTTTATTTTGTATCTGCCAGGCTTCGACCCTGTCAAGGAAACATTCCAGAAAACCATTCCTACAGACAGGCAGTCCAAAGGGTTTG